CATGTGTAGAGAATGCCCCACTTACAATCTTGTCACTTTTAAAATCTTTTAAGAGATACATTACCCAGATCCCCAAGTCCTACCCCAGAAGTCACTTGCAGACAGTTCACTCTTAGGCAAAAGACTTCTGTCCTCACATGGGACTATTCTCTGTCCAGGAGCAAGCCTACCCTCCCCCCTCTCCCTGCAACTTCATGTCCTGTTCACTATTGACTAAAGTTCTGTCCACATGCACATTATTTAAAATAGTCTCCTCGCCTTCTGTGTGAATCTTCTTCAGAATCTATGGGACCTCCTCAAAGAACTGTTCACTCTTCCACTGAGCATCAAACTCTCACCTGCACTACTGCAATAGTTTTCCTAATAAGTCTCCTTGTTTCTGGTGTTGCCTCTTACAATCCATTCTCTACACAGCAGCCAATGTGATATTTTAAAAACAGAAATCAAATCATGTTAGTTTCACTTAAAATCTTCCAGTGGCTTCCTCTTGCACTTCAAGTAAAGTCCAAACACCTCACTGCAGAATATGATACCCCATAGTATCTGCCATCTGCCTGCCTGCCTCCTTGATTTTCTCTCATACTGTTCTCTCCCTCATCCATTCCACTCCAGCTACTCTGTTGTATTCTGTTGCTCAAACACACCACCAAGCAGCTCTTGTACTTACTCCAAATTTTTGCATAGCTAGTTCATTCTCGTTATTCCCATTCCCTGGACTGTTAAAAGTAGTCATCTCGGGGGATGAGGGCATAAGTGGGGGGTGGGGGGATAAAAGGGAGATAAGGACACATTTGTAATACCTTAATTAATAAAGGAAAAATAAATAAATAAATAAATAAATAAATAAATAAATAAATAAATAAAAAGTCATCTCAATCACATTTTCTTATTTAATTTTCTTCACTGTACTTATTATTGTCTGAAATTGTCTCACTCTGTGGAACTTTGTCTGCCACACTCCTAGAATCTAATTTCCATGATAGAGAAATCATCATCTGTATTATTCACAAGAAAGTCCCTGCCCCTGAAACTTAGTAGGTCCTATATACTCAAGTAATCTTTAGCAGATAATCATTACAGCACAGTATCATATGCCAGTCACTAAACACTACCACAAAATGTTCCTCCATGCTTGTTAACATTAAAAAGAATAATACATGATACATGTTTTCATAAAAAAATTATGTGAATTTATTCCTGCCTAATGAATCAGTCCTAATGGAAACAAAAACATATTTCAGGGGACAATCAATATTCCTCCACAAAAAAAGGTGCTGGTACACTGACATCATAATGAAAAGAGTAGTAATTGTACATAGCAACCAAAGATAGTGAAACCTCATTTACACTAACCTTTTAGCCTTCAAATGGATCATACCAATTAACACAGAAGTCTAAATTTAAAAGTAAACAGTTTTGTATCCATAATATAAGTAAATGTAATGAACAGTGGAGTCTAAAACTTTTTTACCTGAAATTGATCTTTGAATGCCAATCTCTAAAATTTCTATTACCCTTCTTTACTTGTGCCATGAATTCTTTTCTTTGTTTGGAACTGTATGGTCTCTCATACTTTACTATAGTTCCACCTCAAAATAAATAATCTGAATTTTAACATTTAAAATTTTTTTTTCTGATCAGGAAGTGGGGGTTAGCAGAACTTCTCTGCTTTGTCTTTCCTCTACAGAAAAGCTCCTCTGTGGTCTTGATATTTCAATTTAAACGCCTTCTGAACCCAGTAGATAAGAAACTTTTTAGTGCCTGTTTCTAACTGTTCGTGAGTGAGGACCGTCACAGAAACTAAATAGCAATGGAAACCAAATAGGTGTTAATAGGATTTTTGTTGATTTTTAGATTTTTTTAAAAATTTTACTTCCCCACAACTATTTTATGGGGTTCAATTACAGTCAGTAACAGATATGATCCATGGAGGAGAACTACAAATTTCCTTTAACTTCATAACAATCCTTTTGGACTTTACATTTACTTGAAAGTAGAATGTGGTAAAAAATATTTACTAAATTTTACTTTCATCACAGTCCCTCCACCCCAACAGTATTACAAATGTCCTCCATTTTATTCCCATTTACCCCCTCTACCCAGCCATTGAGCCACCCCAGGCTTTTCCTACACCATTGTCTATGTCCATGGGGTATGCATACGTGCATATAACACATATCACAATCTTAATTATATATTTATAATTAAGAGAGAGAGAGAGAGAGAGAGAGAGAGAGAGAGAGAGAGAGAGAGAATATGTAGATTTGCAGGACTGGCCAGAAACCTAAAATCCTTCTATTGTTTTTCTTTCCTGTAAAAAAAATTGTTTGGTGATATAATACTAGCAATATAAGTCATTACAGGTCTGATGTTACAGTTCTTACACAGTATTGAATCTATTGAATGAAAAGGGAGCACAAAGGGGATTTCCAAATGCAGCTGCTACTTCCCATTTGTTAAATCCTTTTACTATACCGTAGACGTACACAGCTGGGAAATACTATAGAGTGGGAATTAAAACAAAATGTTTTGGCTTCTAGAAATTCAGAATACACAAAAGGTCCAGTGGAAAGCAATGCTTGATATCAAAAGAGAAAGTTTGAAAACAAGGATGATTTCTTTTAGACTAACATATAACATATATTTGTAAATTTAAACTATTTTATACTACCATAAATTCCACTTAGTATAATTTGCTAAGCACATTATTAATATCTATTTTCTAACAAAATTTTAGATCATAAAACTTTGAGAATAACTCGCTAAAGCAATTTGGCACTTGCCAAGATACACACAAAATTTAACTGAGAAAAATAAGCAAAGTGTTCTCTGAAAAAATAAATTTTGAACTGTATTATTTCTGATTCAACCTACATATTCCAATGTAATTATTTATCTGTCCATAGCTATATTTGGCAAAAAAGCAAATATCTATCTCTATCCCATTGGCCTAATCCAAGCCACTATCATCTCTTACCAGGATTTCTTAAATAGCCTCCCAACAGGTCTCCCTCCCATCCATTCATATTACAGCTAGAATTATCTGCTTGAAATATTCTTAAACCCTTCAAAGCCTTTCCATTGCACTTAGAATCAAATCTCACTTCCAATGTTATCTACCAGGTATTGTTGGATATAGCCCCTACGAATCTCTTCAACCCGATCTGATGCTACATTGCATCCTTACTTATTATACTCCAGCCACGAAGACTACCTTGAATTTCTTGAAACTCAGCTATATTTTTCTCACCTCAAATATTTCATACATGTTATTCCCTCTGCTATTTTTACTCGTTCTTTTATTCTTTGCCTGACTAGTTCCTCCTATCCTTAGGTCAGCAAGGACATTCCTATCTATCCATTCTAAATGAAGTTTATTTCATTATGTTCTCACATAGCATTCTGTTATTTTTCTTCCTAACACATATCACAATTTTTTAAATTTATTGTTGACAGTATTACAAATGTCCTCCATTTTATTCCCATTTACCCCCTCTACCCAGCCATTGAGCCACCCCAGGCCTTCCCTACACCATTGTCTATGTCCATGGGGTATGCATACGTGCATATAACACATATCACAATCTTAATTATATATTTATTTTTGTTCCCTCTCCTGGATATAAATTCCATGAAGGCATATTCATGTATGTTTTGCTCACCAGCACCAAGTAGGATGCTGTGCTCAGAGAAGGTGCTATATAAATATTTATTGAAACAAAAATAAAACATAGCCCTAATATCTTGCCAAAAGCTAGTGGCAGTGACTGAATATCTATTTCACCCATGCTATCTTGGAGGTATAAAATGAAGCACTCAAGATCAAGCAGAAAAACGGACTTTTAGTCTTGCTTTATCATACCTTCTCTGTTTTCCCTATTCAAGGAAAAGAAATCTTCCAGTGATTCTATCTAATTATAAAATTATGATACCCTTACCTAAAGTTAGTCTAGAAAAGTCTTGTTTTTCTTCCAATCCCCTATATCTCACCTACTGCTCCAGAGCACTAGTTATGTCTACAAAATCATCTAAAAAAGAAGTGTATGCATCCACAAATTATAAAATCAGATCTTTAAATTGGTTCTGAGACATTAAGCATAGGGCAAGAATTTAAATATATGTTATTAGTAGTAAAGGCAAAAATAAGATTAAAATATTATCTTGTTTTTTAATTAAGGAATAAAACTTTTCCTAACTGCCCACCTAAAATACTTCGCATTAACTTAACCAAAAGTTAAGATATATAAAACAAATTTTAAAATTCCTAATCAAATAAAATATGTTAAGATTTTGGTCAATTCTAGATGCTAAAAAAATAAGTATATTTGCGGTAAATTAGACAACTAATGTTACTTGCTATGGATCTGTTTTGATGGTTAATGATGGAATTTAACATGAGAAAGCTGGCTAACACATTACATGTATTTGATGTTGTTGTTTCTACCTTTACAGAAAACTTCTATAGTCTGATGCAATGATATTCAGAAGCTTTGTATGTCCTTTTGAAATTAATCTATAGGCATTTAAGTGAGAAAAATCTTAATTATAAATCAAAAATTACTGTAAAAAATGATAAATACCTGCACTTCCTCACTGAAGATGTATTTTCCATATGATCTCATTCCCCTAGACATGTTTGCTTAATATAATTTTTTAATATTAATACACAGCCACACTTCATTTGATCATACCTATTTTGTGGTATTATCAACTTCATCACCTTAAATTCAGAGGTTCAGAGAATATGACAACCAAATCTTCCCCCAAATTAAATATTTTTTGGCAAGGTGACCTAATAATGGATAAAAACTAAATCAGAAACCATTTTCCAATTTTCCCCAGTTAGAGTAATATTAATAATATATATGGTTGTTGTTCTATGATCTGAACACAATGAACTGTAATGATATGTATTTTGAGCTTTCTCTAAAACACCTGTTTGTAATGAGGCCATACTAATGGACACACTTAGCAACAGTGGCCAGATTTTAAAAGCTCACCATTCTTTGCTGAGACGACAGAATGCTGTCCCAGTCAGCATCTTGTTGAATGGTATTGACAAGTGTTGGTAGCTCCTCAGAGTGAGGTTTGTTGTGCATTATAGGGTGCAGAGGCAGATGGGAGGCCACATGTTGATCACTGCCCTCTTCCTTTTCCCTTGAGGTCAAATCTTGGGTCATCGCTTCCTCTCCATCAGCTGAACAGGCAAATGGAGAGGTGGCTTGCTTGGAAGACATTCTTCTGCAGAAAAAGGAAACAGCATGAATTAAAAAGGACTGTTCATGGAAAAAAAAATCCCTTACATTTGACTATTTCAGAAAAAAGAAAAATTCTCTAACTTCAGAGATGTTTACCATCTACTCTAAACCACTAAAAAAGAACTCTCAGCTTATCTGTTCCACTTCTCCTCTTTGATTTTAACTCGCAAAACTCTTCCCGATGATTGCTGCATATTTTCTCTCTTACCAATCCATAAATAAAGTGTTTATGGAATAAGTTTTCATAATATGTATAGTATATGTATGTGTGTAAATTCCCCCCAGTTATCCCAACTAGATTATAAGCTTCTTGAGAGTAATTTTGTTGATTTGCCTAGCAATGGAAAAAAAAAAGAAGAAGAAGAAAGAATGAATGAACTAGCAAATGAGCCAGTTTGGAAAATGATTTGAAAGTACATATATCCAAATTTTGCTTATGCTTTACATCGGAACAAAAGAAGAAAATAAAACCAAAAAGGCAGGTTATCTATGATGAAAGTCTAGGCAAATTTGGTCCTGACTTCTGAGTTTACACCTTGTATTGAGTGCTAGGCCTAACACTGTTTAGTGTCAATGTGATCCTTTTCTAAAGACCTTCAAGCTGTGTCAACTGCTGTAATTTAGCTTTTAAGTGACATATTGATTGAATGGCTGATACTATTAGATTAGTCTTAAGGCAATTTTATAACATTTGAATTGAGCATATGAAATAACTATGCTACTATTTTTTATTAGAAAGTATATACGAGATTCAAAGCATTAGTATGAAAATAGTAAAATGCCTACAATGCATAATATTTTTAATACTCCACAAACAATTACTGAATATTCATCTATGTACCTATAAGTAAACTATATTCAGCAAAAGGTCTCCATTCTGTGCTTCCATATACAACCAGAAAATCATTATTACTAAACAGAATTCAAAACTCTTATAATATCACTTTATCAAGACAATTTTCTTAGCAAATGTTTAGAAATAAAACCGCCAAAGGTTTTTAAAATAAAATAAAAGGCAATTGGGCATCTTTTCTAAAACTTTATGTCATTTTTGGTTTATAGCATAATTAGCTCTAAAATTGCTGTGTAACGAAAGGAATAAAATCTCCACCTTAATTGCTTTTTAACATTAATTGATTTCATACCATTTTTTTAAAAATGCACAAATCAGTTAACATAGGAAACCACATGAGCATTTTTCAAATTAGCAAATCATTAACTTGCTAGTACTGTTTCTAGACAAATAAATACTGATTAAAGGGTCCAGAAATCTGAGATTAACAGTTAAATTTACAAATCTGTCACATGCTTTCATGAATATTGCAGTGAAGGAAATATCAAGTGCAAAGAAAAATAATTAAGTTAATTCCAATTTAAACAGTAGTTTTTATGTAGCAGCCCATGTTTCACATAGGATTTAACAGCTAATGCTAAATTTCTCACAATTAATGAGGGGGCTCAGATTTAGTATCCTACAGTGAAAAAATTAAGATAAGATTAGCTAATCTAATTATGCACAGTTCTAAATAAAAGTATTATAGGCTTTTGAAGTACTTTGAAACCTATTAAAATGCTGATACCTACTTATAATAACCATTCTACAAATATAAAAATTTCATCTATTAGACTTGATTCTAGAAAATACAATGGTGAAAGGAAGTACAGAAGAATGTCTATATTTTCTTTGAGAAGAATAAAATGCTATAAAGAGCACTATATCAAAGAATCAGATAAGTATATTCTTGACCAATTTCTAAAAATAATTACAAATGGACTTATATATACACGCTTAGGAAAAATGATACCAAAGGATGTTTCTTAGTCTACATGAATCACTCTAGAGCTTACTTCATTGGCCTCATAAATACTATCATAAAACCAGGCAAATTATAACTGTCCTGCAAGTTTATCAAGAGCCTGCCATAAACAACAAGAATGTTTTCATAGTTCAGATAATGACAGTACCAATAATGTAATCATTCACATTAAAAACAAAAGAATGAATTTACTGCTGCTTTTTAAAACAGCTCAATACAATTGAAAGTCATAATCCAAAACTCATAGGGACTTTAGCTTCCCAAAAAACATCCTCTTATTATAAAGTGACTTGGCTGCTTCCAATAGCATTATCTGTGATTGTTGCTTTAGTATAAATTAATCATGACACAGAACACAAAAGTCTCTTAAGAATAATTTCAACTGCAAAACTGCACCAATGAACAATAGTGCACAATCCTAATTAAACACAACCATGCAGCTGTAAAAATAGACTAAATCTGTCCAAAGCCATGAGTTGAGTTTCAAGGCTGGTTTGTTAGAGTGTTTTCTTAAGGAAGGCTGGGCCCTCAGTCTTAATCAGCCAATAAATTATTTCCTGCAATTACATTAAATAGAAAATTATCTTCAAATGGGGAGTGTTAATTGAAAATCAAAATTCAGAGGGAAGTTTAGAAATTACACGCTGAATACAATTAGTGAGGAAGGGCTTCACCTCTACTTCATCAACAGCCTTGTGGCGATTCCTCCAGTGACCATTCAGGAAAGTTACCTATTTATAACATCACACGATTTGTCTTTTATTTTGCACCTACAAATATGAATGTGCATCAAGATTGCAAATAAAAGATACGCTGCCAAAAAATGCCAATGTTAAATCTGACTGTTCAGCCTCAGTTCACACCATCATTAGGGGACAAGGAGAGAGGAAGATAAGATAATAATGGTTAATAACCAAGGAAGGCATACGCAACTTGCAATCCTGGCCTTTAGCAAAGGAATTAAGTTTTTTTTTTATTCCAAGAAGAATACTTTTCCATACTATATTTTACTTAAACTTTCTTGTATTTACTATAGTTCTCAAATATGTTGTTAGCAGAGAAAAGGGTGATTTTGTCCTTTTAGCTAGTTATTGCTCCACTCTGGGCATTTCCTTTTGACAAAATTGCTGGGCTTGTTTCAGGTTTGTTTTTTATTTGGTCTTGCTGTAGTTTTTGTTTGGAGTGGTGGTTTTTTGTATTTTTAAAAGTAAAGTGTGCACAAATTCATTTTAATGCACAGTTTATTAAATAAGTCAGATTCACTGATTATTTGATTCAATTTACTGATTATTTTTTGCACAATTACTTTATTAAAGAGTCCTGCAATTTACTGATTACATACTTATTCATTTCATTTCTTTACTTTAACTTCCCCTTTTAAAATATTTTACTACACAGAATTCTAGAAGCTGCAAAGACTCTTGGTAATGCTTTTACTATAACCATTGCACCATGGCTGCTCTCCTTTAGAAAGTCATAAATCAAATATACACCCATTTTAATGTATTACATTGTCACATCAGTGCTTACTTTTATTTTTCATGCTCATATCAGTAATTTTCCATTACAAAAACTTTCACACACCCCTCACCCCCAATGCATTAGAATGGTATCTTACTTTAGCTGCTGCCATATATAACTAATAGGAAAAAGAACAAAATTCTTATAAAAATGGTCAATTTCCATGTGACTTTACTTTGTTTTATTTTTGCACTATAACTTAAAAATCATTCAAATGAATTGTTTTTTTAATTTGTATTAAAAAAATCTCCCTAGTTATACCCCGTGAAAACAGGGGGTTATAATGGAAGTGCTGACACAACCCTAACTAAAGCAGCGCAAATGTTGCCGCTATAATACACAAAATCAAGTTCTATTATTCTAAACGATCCTCGCTCATGGGATTTTTCTTTACTGTGCTCCCAGCCAAACTGCTGAAGCATGAAAAATTTAAATGCAATCAAATGTGCCCAATTCTACTTTACTAGAACAAGTGTCTACAGTGGTACAATCTTAAAAGGAGATGCAACAGATTTGTTTGGTGTTTTTTTTTTAACTGTTTATTTATAATACAGTGCATTGGAGATAAAATAAAAGAGGAAATTACACTCACATGGTACCAGTGTATTGACTACACAGAGTACATTATAATCAGAGAGAAAAACTACATTGTCAACTTATCACATTGGTTAAACAAGATGGTTTTCTGGGGCATAGCTATTATCAAGTAAAACCTCCAAAGAGAATTACATATCTTTGGGACACATAAAACTAAGTTCTCATCATGTGTTCCCGAGTTTGAAATGTCTCTGCCCAGCAGATCAAGTGAATTCCCAGGATGCCGGGCCATTGGAAAGAACTTCAGGGCTTAGGACTTTTGGGAATGAGAATGTCAGAGATAGTCTCCTGTAATTGATAATGTTTTCTAGGAAGTTAATAGGAGTATCTCTAGAAAGATGATAATTTTTTACTCCAAAACCCCAGTATCAAATCTGAATGTTTAGACCATTAAAACCTACTCAGACAGTAAATTTACTTTATATCTTTTAACAAGAAATCAAGATTAGCTTGTCTAAGACTTTATAAAATGGGGAGGACTAGATATCTACACAGTAAATCCTCTATCTCAGAAAAGCATACTTTCTAGAACGTTAAGCCTTTCTGGTTTTATGCTATTTTTTAAAAACAGTCATTTGTATATGTTTAAAAGTTAGGATTATTTTAAAACAACTTTCTCATAAGGCATAGCCACTCAAAATTACTTTTTTTTCTTTACTACTGCTTGAAAAGAATCTGTCTCCAAACTATCATCTGGAACTTAACTATAGAAAGGAGCCTTGAATTTATTAGAACAATATTTTTAACCTGATTTTTAAAAATGTTTTCATGACTTCTAAGATTATTACCAAATGGTATTCATTTTTTAGGTGTGTTACATTTATTCAAAAGGAGCCCTGTTTTGAACACAAAACAACATTTTAATAGCTGGTTTACATAAAGAAAATATTAAAAATTCAGACCAACATTCACATTTATTTTTGCAACTCGGCCCAGGCTACCAAGGTAGACTTATTTCAGTCAGATAATTCACTGTTAATTTAATCCTGCAATTGAGCTGATACTGAGAAATAAACAATTAATTTTCCAAAAATATAAGTGTCTCTCA